ACCCAGGGTTGATCAATCACTATCTTACTATAAATGCAAGTCTTTCATTGGTGGAGAGGTTGCAATGACGTCATTAACCAACCCTGGGTCGTTCAAATCCTGTATAATCGAAAACGCTATAAGACTGTCAAGGAAACATTGGAAGCACTTTGCTGGAAAGTGTTACCCCATGCGGCTTATTCACCAGACTGTGCCCCTTCCGACTACCACTTGTTTTGGTCGATGGCACACGCACTTGCTGAGGAACACTTCAACTCTTATGAAAGGATCGAAAAATGGGTCTCTGATTGGATAGCCTCTAAAAATGAGTTGTTCTTTCGCCGTGGGATCCGCTTATTGCCAGAAAGATGGGAAAAAGTCACATCTAACGATGGCCAATACTTTGATTGATGTATTTTTTTCATTTGTTTCTTAAATAAAGGCTTGATTTTTCCAAAAAAAAACAGGTTTCAAGTTATAGATAATATTAGGAATTGAGGCTTGTGCCTTCCATGAGTGTTCTTCCGGAATTGTACGTCGTAGATCCGTGGTCGAGGAAATATGTATTTCTTCTAAATTTTAACTTTATTTGTGCCAAAGGTGAGAACCTTCTGTTGTACACCTAGTCACAGGAATGTTTTAACACATGAACTTGCACGAGTGTCAAGACATATCGAGTCGGTGTGTTCCGACTCTACATATTTTTACATCATAGGTTTGTTTTTTATTCCTACACTGTACTGAACTAAAACTAAACTAAAACTAGGGAGTTTAAGCAAGGATTGAGAGTGCAGACTGAAAAAGTGCAAGAATAAAAACACTGCAGTGCAAAAATAATGTGTGACAATATAATAAATAAAATAGTAGTATTGGAATTAATAGAATCTTCTGACGAAGATGATCATTAACGATACAGATTATTATTTAACGATACAGATTTATATATTTAAATTTTAAACATTATATTTTAAACATTATACATTAAAATAAAAGTTAAGTCTTGTTGTTAAGTTTTTTATTTACAAAAATTCTTACTTACAATTTCATACTTACAATTTAATTATCTATTTATGGCGCCTATTTCTTAGGCTGCTGTTCTTGCATTGCTTGCACTGGCTCTAGACCTAGTGCAATCAGTTCAGTGAACTAGTACACTAAGTTCCGCTACACTGTCATAACGAACAGCGTCAGTAATACCAGTTCTGCAATAAAGAACGCTTCAGTGTACACTTTTTGAACTAGTGCAGCCAGTTCAGGAATAAAAAACAAACCTCATGACTGGTTATGAACATAGCGGCAATGCTGTTTTGGCTGCTTCAAAGCAACTGAAATTGACAAGTAAAGGTCAATATTTATAATATTTAATATTTATATCAATATTTATTGATGGTTTAATATTTATAATATTTATATTTATATCAATATTTATTGTTGGTGGAAAACGAGCAATAAGTATTGTGGCGGCATATCGCCACACCACTGCACCGAAGCGGTGTAGTACACCGCGACGCCGCTACGCGCCGCAGGCCCTCAGCCAAGCTCCACGCTTGCGGCTACACCGCCAGATAGCGCAGGCGGTGTAAAGCTATCTCGCGATTTAGAATCGATCGACTCACTATAAAAGAGCGTCGATTCGATTCTTTCCTCACTCACTCGCTTCAAGGCGAGCTCTCCAAAAGGGCTCTTGATTCGAGCAGTAACTCTATTTCGAAAGAGCGTAACAAGCGACTAGTTTTCGCAGCTTTCTCTCAGTGCCCAGAAAGGCACGAAAGCGAAAAACTAGAGACCCTTAAATTAGAGTCTGGCCATAAGGCAGCCAGTTTTGATTGATCCGCCATGTTTTGTCAAATCCCTCTCATATGAATGCCAATAACCTTGCTATTAGTTTAAATATATTTTAGTAACATAAATAGAGAAAATAAACGTTTTAAAAAAACAAAATTTTATTTTTTATTTATGTAAAACATTAAAATAATACATCCTAAGAAATTCTTTATCTTTTAAGTGTGTTCAGTTGCACATAAAACAGAAAAAAATGCAATTTATACAAAATAAAATAAGTGCACAATTATTTATTAAAATATCTTTTATATTGTGAAAAATTATTACATATTAGGTGTAGTAAAAAGTAATCCATTATTTTTGCATTAAATTGAAGGCTTTATTTAGCATAGTTAGAATGATCCGATTTAGGTCAAATATGCACCGTTTTGTTCGATAACTTGTTGCCATTTTGAAGGTAATTTCATAATGCCTCTCTCATAGAAACCCTCGTCCCTACTGGTAAAAAACTGGGACAGTCGATTTTCACAAGCTTCTCTTGAGGCAAATTTTTCAC